TTAAATGCCTGCCTTCCAATACATTGATAAACTGTTTAACTGTTGGGTAAATAACGAACAAATTATTTGGTTTGTCTTGTTTAGTTTGACGGAAAAATATAAAATTAGCACTGTCAATTTTCTGATTTTTCTGACATAGAACAGCACTTAATGTATAATCTGTGGTTACTAATGACTTGGGGTTTAAATGTTTTGAGATATTATTAAATTTCGCCTAATCTTCCATGACGTTCTTTGCATTTATAAATGATGTCGTTGAAGCGTTAAATTTGCTATTTTTAGCCTTGATGTAAAAAAATTAATAATGGTTGCAAAATTCATGGACAGTATGAAATGAAATGACTATAAAGAATGATGAGATTTATTAAATATCTAAGTTGTAATGATATCGGTGCTGAGAAATTGCTTATTGTTTCTACTTTTTCAGGAATGAGCATTATTTTTAATTTATTAATTACATGTTCAAGGACATTTACCTTGGATTTGCTAAATATACATGTGTCCATAATGATTTTCCGTCAAAGGTAAGATAAACTTTGGAAGATTTGCTTAAAATGTGTCTCATTTTCATGTTCATTTTTGTATGCTACACGTATGTTAGTTTATGAATAAACGTTAGGGAATCCTCTTAAAAGTGGAGATTCAGTTTTTAAGCATGACTTTCATTTCAGTTTCAGAAGATGTCATCGCAATGACTAGTGGTGCTACTATGTCACTATATAAAGTGTTAATCTTGGAGCTGGATTGCTGAACGAGGTCACGGTATTAAGGTGTACCTGTGTATTTTTAATCTTTGACACACTAAAATTACTGTGATCCATTTTCGAATGTTTGTTGTCATATTTAGTCAGATGAAACGTTCAGAGACCATTTTGACTGTTGACCGTTTACTTAGATGTGAGGCTCCTTGGCATTGTTACAACGATCCCTGTGACTGGCTGAAAAGGAACCAATTAGAAGACCCATTACTAAAGTTGCTTCGTCCCGATCTGTACACTATATTTGAATCTTTCTCTCTCATTCCCACTTTGGCTTTCAACGAGTAGCACGTACAAAAACACTGCTCTTGGAAAAACTTCAACAAATCTCTGGAACCCAGGATGGTAGCGCCTATTCCACATGAAGAAATATCTTCTCAATCCTCAGGAATACGGACGCCGAGACATTGCTGCTACCGACACAACAACAAGAAATCACAAAACCTCAATGAACTGTTAACAGAAAAATTCCTTTCTGTGACAAAATAAGTCCGCAAAATACCATTTTTTCAATTTTTTTTAATTGTAAACTGCCTTCCATTCTCCTTTTCTTCCTTCCCATTCTTCAGTTTTACTCATAAAAGGTTTGAATCTCAAAGGTTTGGTTTCGTTTTTTTTTTTTTTTTCTCACGCCGTGTCATGTCACTGAATTATCCTTCAGCAGTAATTACTTATCTTTTTTAACAAACTTAAACAGGTGAAATACTAACAATCTGTTGTCATATTAGACGAAATATTGATTTTTCAATCTAGAATGGGAATGACTGCAAAACTTCCCCCCTCCCTTTTATAGGTAAAATTCCACAAAATGCATACTGGGATATTTTTCTTGGTCAATAAAATAGATCGATTTACAATTTGATTTGACATATCAGTATCAACTAGACAGACAGACTCGGTACGTTCGCTTGTCCGGCTTTGCTTTTGTGTGCAAACACCAACTCATAGTTTGTAAACTCTTTTGCTTTCTTACCTGTGAATTTGCTTTACATGTATTGATTGATTCTATTTCATATTTCCTTTTTTTTTTTCTGTTTATTGTAAACTTTATTAATTCTGTTCCTTGGACAGTTGTATTATTTATTTTGCATTTTTGGCCATGACTTCTAAATTATCACGAAACGTGCAGAAATCAGTTTGATTGTTGACCTTTTAATTTGAGGTGAGAGTCTGTGTAGATATTTTTCCAGGGTATGGGTGGAATGTCTGTTGTCATATTTGGTTAGACGAAACGTTCAGAAATCAGTTTGTCTATTAATCATTTACTTAGAGTCTTTGTAGATGTTTTCCTGTGCATGTGTGGAATGTCTGTTGTAATATTTGGTCGGAGGAAACGTTCAGAATCAGTTTGACTGTTGACCTTTTAATTTGATAGGAGAGTCTGTGTAGATTTTTTTGGTGCGTATGAGTGGAATCTCTATTAGTATATTCAGGTATATAAAATGTTCACAAAATCAGTTTGACTGTTGACCATTTACTTAGATGTGAGTATCTGTGTAGATATTTTTCCTGAGTATGTGTGGAATGTCTTTGAACTTTTGTATTGCGTTTCGCAACCGAAATGGAATCTTTGTAAATTCATTCGGTCCGAATGGCATCGTCACTGTTGTTTTGGATATATCTTCCTCTGTGACTGGCACTAGGAAGTAGATTTTCGTTAGAATTTTGGAAAGTATTTGATTACTTTGTAGTCAATGCAAAGTCTTAGATGTCGGGAACTTAATAGCTGTCAGGGAATGTTGACGTGTTTAATTTCCTGAAATCGACGCATATTGGGGTGAAGGGAGGTTTGATAATCACTTTGTGATTTTATGGGCGCACTCTGCATAGAATGGTAAGTATACTAGTTGGACGGTCATGCTTATATGGTGGTTTTATGGGAGGGTTTACTGAAACAGTAGCGTCATACCGCAATATTGAATCAAGATGCCCATATAGTCAGTGCTGTGACGTGTGGCAGCCCTTATTACTGTCAAATTGTACCAAGTTTTGATTCCTGTGATTTGGATGTTTGTTTGATTGTCTATCATTATTCTGTTCAACCTGCTGACCGACAGATTATAATGGGCTACAAAAAAAAATCTGCTCCCAGGACGTGTTTTCACGTGGGCCTATATGAAAGAAGGATAGAAATCACAATTTAACGTGGTTTTTAGTGTTAAGGATTTGTTATGATCCAGAATGATGATATTTCATCATGTGAAAAATAATATTGCCATCAGTGAAGATAAAAAAAATAAAGGATATTTCATCATTCTAGAAATAATCTTGTCATCGGATATGATAGAAAAGAAAGATATTTCATCACCCAACCCTCATCATTATAAAAACGACCCTTCCATCACAAGAGTCGGTAGAGTAGAGAATAGCAGAGTAGAATAGGGTACCCTATAGCAGTAGACCAGCAAACAAGTAGTAGTAGTAGAAAAACTAACGTCTTTGCCAGCACTCCGTGAAGATCGAAAACAGACGATGTCAAACGCCATCCTCACAAACGGAATTCTCGAAACCAAACCAAGTAAGCACTGACTTTAAACAAAAGAGAACATTTTTACACACACCATACAAATATTCTGTAATTCACATCACAAAAATAAGCAAATTCTTGCTATTTATGCCAACAAGTGTTTCAAGTTTTATTCTTTATATTATTGTTGTATGTTTTAATTCATTTCGTTTTCAATATAAAACAAAGAGAAAAAGATTCCTCCTACCCTACAAATACATATAGCAACGAGGAAATTACTTTAACAACACTCAAATAAAATCAAGTCAAGATTACTACTACTTCAACCTTAACTACCCTGTTACATATCTATTGTTTTGTCTATTCACGTGTCTATGTTCTGCTATGTATGTTAACACACTTATTTCGGTAACACTACTCACTAAAAATCTGTATCCGCTGCTTTTTTGTTTTAGTTCAGGTCACATTTAGTAGGTTCAACTAGTGGCTGAAAGGGTCGTTTCCCGAGTTTGTATGACCTTGCTTAGCACGACGGTAAGGTGAATTTATCGGCATTTCTGTCAAATTTAAAATGGTATCCACACGTGTATTCGTTTTAGGAAGGTTTTCGTCCACTTGTACTTTGACAGTGTATACGGCGATGGTTGTTCCTGCTAGTGGGTGAATTATGTGAGACTCCATTTTCTTCATTTGTCTTCTTTCTTAAATCATGCATATTTAGCGAACGGGCGTGTAGCGTAAATCTACAATTGGAATCAACGGACCGAGTTCATTTCCCAGGCTAGTTTGTTGCGTTCAATTACGCTATAATGCTCCCCAAACCTTGTTAAAGTTATAAAGGTGTGAACCCCCTCCTCAGTTATCGGTTAAATATCAGGGTAGACTGAACTCTCTAACATTGGATGGCAACTAGCCTAAAAAAAGGAAAATTTTGAATTCAAATCGTGGAGAAGATACGGGGAAACCACTCCATTATCTTTCCTAAGAAGGCATGGCAATTAACAGATAATAAAAAAAGGAATGGACATGATTGCCTACAGAAAAACATATTTGTAAAAGTTTCTGGGCTTTTTATACACGTTATGAGTTTAATCTTCGTGGATATGACAACATTGATAAAAATTCAAAAATATTTTCTCTTATCATTTCTAAATTTTGTGCTAGGTTAACTGCCATCTTCCCCATTTAGTATGCACTGCGCTTAACCAGTCATGTGACCCTTAAGGACCAGTCAGTGAAGCCTCGTCTGTACAAAGGGAGGTTTGAGGGAAAACGCCGCTTTCCTGATACGTGATTAAAACAGAGCCCCTTAAAACATAACGGTGAGTAAAGACAGTTTCTGTCAAGCCCACTAGCTCTCCGTGATTCCGTGAGTTGGCCTAGACTATTATTTTGACTAGAGTTATACTGAGTAGCTACAATTACTAACACTGGAAGAAATTAACATTGGCAGATCAATGTGAATCAAACTGTCACTTTTATACGTTTTTCTGTCATGTTCCGCGACCCTTCAGAATGTGAATTATCATTGCTTTTCACAGTTTCTTATCTTTTGTAACTCTAAGCGATGTTTGTCACCTTACTATTCTTCCCAGTACCTGCTCTGCTCTGCTATCTACACAAGCTAATTAGGTAGGTTACAAACTGATTGCTGTTATATGTATACATACATGTGTGTATATACACATACACATGTATATTAACTGCGGACAGAAAGGGAACTAGGAATTCCGCTGAGAGCGACTTCCTGTAAAATGCCTTAAGGAAATAAATGTATGTTCTCGCACTCCAATCTTCATCTCTCTTTTCTAAGTGCAGCGAGAAATCATCGCCGACTCATCTCAACTCCATTTTACGAAGAACAAATACCTGCACAGTAAGACTGAAACATTTTACTTCTTTGTTGACTGTAAACCTTATTTACTTCACATTGTTTATGTGTCGATCGGCGAACACAATAATTGCCTATACTTTGCTTGACTTCAATATTGTCCTGTGAGTGTCAAGTCTTCTCAGAGGAAGTTGTCCACAATTTACTGTCACGTCGTGTAGGAAATTCTGCCATCCAGGGTTTTTTTTTATATTAAAATACCGAACGTCCGAATAACAAACAATAATAAAATAAAAATAAAGAAAAAAGTATTAAAAATAGTCTTTAGTATTAAAAATATTCTTTAGTTAAAGCCTTTGGGTAGTTGGTACACAAAAAATCTGTAGTTTAGAAAGACTTTTAAGTAGTTGGTCCACAGAAAAAAAAAGCTGTGGTTGAAATTATAATTAGCAAAGAATCACTGACCGTCTTTGTTTTTATTGTTGTTGGTGTTGATTCGTTTGAAGCTGTCGTCACATGTTTATTTCAGCCCGCGCTGTGTGGAAAGGAAAAAGCTATGTAACCAGGTGTTTGTATTTGTGTTCGAATCACTAGGAGACGGTCTCATCTCTGCTCGCTGAAATTCGAAATCGAGGTTTTATAAGACATTTTTCCCAGAAGTAGACTTGTGAAAAATGGGGTTTTAGCTTTCTCTGATTGGTCAAATATTTCACATGGTGACGTTAATTTCTAACCAATAGGCACTTTGGTTTAAACGGTGTGTATTGTATTATGATGTAGCAATCATCATCGCCATCACACACACACACACACACACACACACACACATACATACATACATACAGATCATACGACAAGCATTCATTGGCTAATCTCCTCAAAACTAGCTCGCTGATTGATTAATTCCGACCAATCAAATCGCCTGAACGCGAGGAATGATTTTCCTGTGTAAAAGGCTGGGAGCCTGTCACGTGAGACACAACCTTACATAAACAAAACACGAATAAGCCTCTCTCGTTCTCTTCGTTCATTTTTTCCTTGCTGCCAAGATGTAGTCTTCAAGAGCTACCGTCTTAACCGTGCGGTAAGACGTTAAAGAACATTGCCAACAACTCTTATCGACTTTTTCGCAAGTCGCCAGTAGAATCCAGCAAATTTCGCCTGTCATCACAAACCTATGACTTTACTTACAACATTTCAAACGCACACACACACACAGAATTTTGTAATACATACATATCTCTCTGTGACTCAGCCAAGTTAAATCAACCAGAACTCTGTTAATTTCTGACACAACACACTTTCTGATCAATTGTATTCTTGTGTTATCCATTCTAACAAACAGTCCTTTGTTCTAATATTGATTCCTGAACATTTTTCTCTCACTAGAGCTTTCTTTCGAACAATCAAATACAATTCAAAATACGGTAAAAGGGAAGCAACTTTTTTTTCCTTAATCTATACATTGCAAACAATATTATTGTATATTTCATTCATGTATGTTATTTGATTCACATCTGGAGTTTCGTTGTTGTCTTGAATCATTTATTATACAAAAGTTATACACAGGCCAAAGAACACGCAGCCTCATAACAATGGATATTTGTTAGCGTGTTTGTAATATTGTATGTTATTCGATAAAAATAAAGTTTGCGCGTGTTTATGTTATTATGCGGAATTGTGTTGGCAATAGCATTTCTTTCCTATACTGTTATTACAAATAATGTGGAAGTTGATATTTTGCTTAAATGAGCAATTTTTGGCCACCTTCTCTATCTCGAGTTAATTAAATTTTAAATATAATCTGCATCACTATGTTTGAATCCAGTATTTTTGCCTAAAAAGTTTAAATGTGAGAAAATGTTGCATTACTTCTTTACAAAATGAAGTCTTCTTTTTATATTTTTTTTTTCGGAAATCAAAGCTTGTGCGTGAGAACACATGTAATTTAAGGGTCTTAGATTAAATAACTTGTTGATCATGTGCATCCATACGTAAGCACGTCGATTTAATTTTATTTTAGTTATTCAATTCACGCACATTAAAAAAGAAAGTAATGCATACAGAGGGAACTTTTTTTTTATCGTCACCGTTTAATAAATTGATTAGTTGCGCACGTCTTGCATAGCGACATGATTGCATGCAACAGAGAAATTTTAATCACTGCCAGCGTTGCCTTCACCCTGGGGGTTGTGTTCGGCTATAAATTAAAAGGCTGGCGCGTGAAGTACCTTAAAAAGATCAAGGACTTTTATGACAGGAAAGCTGCCAAAATCCAAAAGAAAATCGACGACGAGATCGGTATCGACACTTCGGCAGACACGATGACAACAACGACATTGACTACCAACCAAAAAACAACTTTATAGAATAGATTTAAAAAGAAAAGTAATCTTACTTTTCCCATCATAATTTCTACATGTAATTTTTTTAATTTAAATCTGAATTATCCAGTGACGGCGAGTAAGTTATTTTTTTAGTTTCACTTAAACAAATTGTCTTTCTTTCTCAAAACCAACATAAACAGAAAGCTTATCTTCATCTGGACATTTGTCCTCATATATGTTTGTTACTATATCAACATTTCGGACGTTATAACCCTCCACCCGGCCTTCCTCATGTGATCGGATACCCTTCCGGGTAATTTCGAACAGAATCCTTCATTTAACCTAGAGCGGGAAGGGGGCGTATTGTTCTCTTTCTGTTGTCAATGTCTAACGAGATTTCATCTTGGTTACTTTTCTCTTTTCTAAATACTATTCAATTATTATTATTATTCCTGTATCCGTTGAGTTTGAATTTCTGTACTATCTGGGCCAGGGATTGAACTCCCAATTATGCCACCAAATACGCACCTGAATGTTTTACTTTTTTTAAATCATCAAGACTCCATGATAGAAAGGCTTTTTGTAAAGTTTTAAGACTTAAGAAGTGTAAAAAAAAAAAAAAAAAAAATAATGATGACACCTCATCCCAAAAATTCAATCAGAAACAAAAACAACGTTTCTCTTTTTCTTCCCAACATAAGTGAAAAAATGCCACAAAGTGATAACGGTTTAAACGAGAAGTACTTTTATTTGAATTACTAGTGAAATGTACGTACTTTCAATTTTGAAAGTACTGAAGGTCACTAAAAAAGGCAGTATGGCAATGAGTCGCTTACTTTTAACTTTTTTTTTAATTTAATAATTTTTCTTTTAAATGAAATGAAAATTAAAAATATAAAAATAAAATTAACTTTCGAGAGTAAGATAGGTAAATGTATATTGTAACACCCGAGCGCTAATATCCCTTCAAATTTTTCCAAAAAAGTCTTAATTCCGTGCAAATGTATATGCTTAACTCAAATCAACAATTAGATATTGAAGAAACCTACCTTTTTGGATGTTAACGACCGGGTGTTACAATATACATTTACCGTAAGATATGGTCGACATTTTATTATTTATTTATTTTTCTTTTAATTTTTAAAAATTCAGGTAGTTTTCTTTTTTTCTTTTCTTTTTTTACATTTTTTTATTTAAAAAAAAACGTCGGTCAACGGATTAATTAGTACTTTTACTTTCATACATTTCCTGCACATTTTATTTTTGCTGCGAATGACTTTTCCTTCAAACTTTTTGGCTAAAAAAGTCACGGTGTGCGTGGAAAACAATGACATTTTTTCTTTTCTTTTTAGCGATTTATTGTTTCTTTCAATTGTCCTAAACAAAATATTTAAATTTTAAAAATTAATTAAGCACTGTCAATTACTGTAATTAATTTTTGACTAATCATTCTTTCAGTTGCTTTATTTTTTTTATTTTTTTTACCAAATCGCAGTTCCCATTATCATTCTACGATAGATTGAGCAAGGAGCGCAGGTCTCACTCTAGACTTCAACTCGCATCCCACTTTAAGGAATTTAAGGAAGATTCGATACTTTTTGACAAAGCAGGAAAATTCAGTAACTATGAAATAAAAGTCGATTGAAAATTGATTTTAGGGCCATTCTAGGTAAATCCCTCTCTCATATATTTTTAACTAAAAACCGTGGGGTCCAGATAAAACCCCACTACACCAGTACCGGGGCCGTACTTATAGTTACTTTTTCTAGCAGCTGCCTTACTGAAGGCGAACTCTTGTACCTTTCAAAGGGAAACTATGAATTAACAAATACCCGAAATTAAATACAGTGTAACTTGGATATAAGAGAAACCCGGATATAAGAGATTTTCACTGGTCCCAAATTAGAGCCATACTTACCTAAACAAAATAGACCAAACCCGGATATAAGAGACTTCTTCTCCGGTCCCGACAACTCTCTTATATCCGGGTTACACTAGTTTATTTTATTCTGTAACTACAAAAAAAAAAATTTAAATTCATCGGCTCTAGGAGAGGGTGAATAAGAAATAAAGACTTGAAGTACTGTAGTGGGGTTTCATTCGAAATTTTAAGAAACAATAAATTAAGAACCTAAAACTTATTTTATAATTTTATTTACACAAATTAGTACTTTCTTTCTTCACAAGTGTTTGTGTTTAAAAAAAAAGTTTAAACTAAAAAGAAAATTTAATTAATATCTTGCAAATTCTTTTTTTTAATGTTACTTAAAAAGTCTGTGATGATACTTATGTGATCACACCAAATTGTGCTTTCTCCTAAAAACTAAAGTCTGCTCAGCATAGTTGTAGTTGGCTCTGTGTCCATCTGTAACAGGGATTACCTGGCCACCCTAACAGCCAGCCATTATTGCATGAATATAGCAATGTGATAGGTTGACCTATATAATAAATTATTACAATTAATACATTATAATCATAGTAGTTTTTTTTTTGTTGTTTTTTTTTTTGTCTGTTGTATTTGTATTTTTCTTCCATAGTCTTAATTATTTTTCTTCTCCAGAGAATTTGTACAATGGCATCCACAGAATCATCTCACTGTCAACACTTGTTACCACTTCTAGCTGTCCATGGTGGAGCCTGGTCAATACCAGATAATTTATCTACAGCCAGTATGAATGGAGTAAAAGAAGCAGCCATGCATGGCTACAAATTATTGGAAGCTGGTTTTTCAGCTGTGGAAGCAGTTGAAGCTGCAGTATCCAAACTTGAAGACAATCCTGTCTTTGATGCAGGTAATTGAATCTACTGGATGAAACTGATTTTACATTATAATTTTGAAGAATTAGTATTCAAAGACACTCCAAATTCAAATTTGTTAAAATATTTTCAACTAAATTGCAAATAAGTAATCAAAATTGAAAAGTAAAGAATAAAAACAACGCATATTTAACAAGATCAACTACATTGTTTATTTAGCATTTAATATTACAAGATGCTGAAAAATATTCAGTCTGAGCCTTGCAAAAAAATATCTGAGGTTTAGTCATTTGGTTAGATTTTGGGAAGTGAGGACAAGAATTTTTCATCACCTTTTATTCTACCATATTCAGAACAATAAACATTAAAATATTAACAAAATCAACTGCACTTTCTAATTTCTTGATCAAATATTCATTACTTACAAATGTTTTCTTCAGGCTTCTTTTCAATATTTGAAAATTGCTTAATGAACAAGATTTTAAAAAATACAATTAAAAAATTCCTTTTTATTGAAAACTATTCAAGTTACTAAGAACCAAATTAAAACCAGTGTATTACAGTCCTTTCTGTTGTACAAACAGGTGCTTTTATATTTTTTCTCAAAATGTCTCTAATGTGAAATAAAGAAAACTTATTCAAATTAGAAAGATAATTTTTTCCATTCGTACAATTGTCCTCATCTTTGTTGTTATTGTCACAATGTTTCAGCTGTTGTGCCTTCCAGCCTTCTTCAGGTGTCTGTTGATCTGGGTTACCTTCAGGAAATTTCAAACTGAACCCTTTTATTTAACCCCTGATGGTAGATTTTCATCCCACTGTCTATGTCTAGGGATATCTTGTTGTTATTTAGTACTGCTAAATTATTGCTCGCCCAGTTTTCACTGATTCTGGCTAGGAATTGGATCCACAATGACTTTCACCAAATTATCGAATCAGCACTAATCCTAATGGACTGTTGTCCTCTTTAAGACAGAAATTAGAAGACACAAGTTTTGTGAAATTTGTAAGCAACAAACGTAAGAAGTGATGGGTGCATTCAATGTTTATAATTTTGCTTCTTTGTTAATAAATATTTGTCGATATGAAGTGATATATCTTTAAAACTACAACAGTCTATTAGAAATTAATGCATTACCTACTAACCTACATTTACCAACAATTAAAATGTTAGTACACAAACTATAAAAAATTTCTCATGAGCTGATTTAGATCAAATTTTGAAAAATTAGAAAAAAGGGCTCTACACATGGACTCGTGAACTTTATCTTATATTTCAATGCCAGAAATGATTTTATACTGTATGCTTATCCACTAGAAAAACAAATTATCTACATAGGTTACTGCTATGTCAACATTATAACTTCTACACTAAACACTTTAATTTTCCTACTTCTAAGCATGATTCTAAGTCGTCAAATGTTTGTAAGTCAGCATATTTATTAAACCTCAATAAGTTTAATATAAAACTACAGTACTGTGAAAAAGTCAGGTCATTTTAAACTGTGGTAAATTTCTAATAATTGCTATTTTATGTCTTTTATTGTGCTGTCTACAGATTAAAACTTTGGCCACATTTGAGTATTTTTCACACCTTATTATATTTTTAGCAAGGGTTCTGAACTAGGAGAGAAGATGCAAGACAACACCCAAAAATAATCATACAAAATTCTTTGGCCACCTGACTTTTTCTGTTTTAACACTAAAATGCAAAAGAGCAATTTTTTCCCTATATATATATATATATATATATATATATATATATATATATATTGTAGGTTCTGACATCAAATTTGTTCATTCTTTCATTACTTGAAATCGTGGTGGAAATTTCCAAAGAAGACAGGGAAGATAACCAAGAATATGAACCAAAGAGAAATCACTAAATAAATGTCCTTTGAGATCAATAGGTTGTGAAGTTTAGATTTTATTCAACCATCTCTTCCACTAAACTTCATGAAATCAAATAACACTTAGCAAAAGATGGATAAATTCCAAGTGTCAACAGGCACCTAAGAGGAGATAGTGTTTAATAATAAAAACACTGTGGAGATATCAATGGAGAACCAATCTACCATTTTTCTTAAAAACAATTATGGACCTTCAATATGTAGAAATTACTTGTAAATAAATTAATAAGTTGTGATAAAACTTCCATAACAAACTTGAAAACTTGCAAATTAAGTTTTTGCTTTAGGAAAATGATACATAAAATTAACAATGTAGAAATATTTGTACAAATTTTTGAATAAAATATCTTGTTTGGTTTTAAAAAGTGACGGGCACAAAAGTTCCCAATCTTCATATCTGATTTTAATAGATTCAGAAAAATTATTTATGATAAGATAAGCTTACATAACATTAACAAATCTTTGGACACTTTGACATTAGCAAGCTTGTCTCACTAGAACAATTACAACTGAGTAGTGTATTCGATCCTTACCAGGTGCCCCATACCTTTGCCTTTGCTTAGAAAATCACCATTAACAAATCTTGGCTTCTGATTAGGAAGAAAATAACAGATCAAGATTAAAAATATAAGGTCAACTGTTGTGTAGGTAACTTCTAAGGAAAGAAACATAAGCAGATGTGAGTTACATTCTGAATGAAATTTTTGTTTTTTTATCAAAGAGTCTCTTCATTTGAAGAAAAGGATTTTTAATTAACATTATTATTAAATGTAATTACAATAGCCACAAAAATTCTTTGGTAGTTTTGAATTCTAAAGCAAGTCACCATAAAGCTGTCTATCTGGATGAATTCTTCACGTGTCCTGCTACCTCAATATTCTCTGCATACAAACTGAGGCTGTTTGTTTAATGTAATGGTCCATCTAGCTTCCAATCTGAAATAACATGATGCCTGAATATTTATCCCTCATCCAGAACTAAATCTGGTAGGAGAACACCTTGATGTCTGTAGCAATACCTATGAGAAGTGTGTAATTTTTAGATGTCCCCCCGCCCCATGAAAACTTGACCAATTTTATGGGTCCCCTTTACAAAAAAAGACCTTAAGTCACATTACTAAAAATGCAGTTGTTCTGTGTGTGAATTTGTCACTGAATTAAATGATAAAATTGCTTTATTCATATTTTCTTTTTATAAATGAATTGCAATAATTTCCTCATAAAATACTGATAAATTACAATGGGGATGGTAATTATTTGTCACAACATTTTTATGATAACAAATGACTATCATTTTAAATGTCATAATTACCAAGCAATTTTGTATCTTGGAGCTTCTCGGTTACTATTTTAATTTTTAACACTCTGTAGGTGACTTTGTTCATGAAGGAAAATGTTTGTCTTGCCTCTACAGGTGACACTGATTACAAAACAGCAGGATGCTTGAATTTTTATCTTTTCATGACCTTATATGGCAAAATTGACAATGGCAAAAATGCAGTGAAGTAATCGCATACTAAATATTGTTCTGAGTTTGGAATGTTATAATTTGTACTTGTCCAGTTCTCTAAGGAAAACTTGAGGCCTACACTAAAAAGGATTAACTTTTTTTTTTTTCTCTTTTTAATTCAATCTTATTTACTTTATATCAGCTATTTTCAGGTTAAAATAAAAGAAAAAGGCTTTTATCTGGTCCAAATCATAATGGCAGTATCCTATTGATTTCTCGATGCATTTAGGACCAACATATTTGCTGCTGTCTATTGTTCAAAAATAGAATAATGGGGATTCTCTCATAAACTAAATATTTTTGGGAAGCTAGCATTTTTTCACAGAAGTTTTCCAAAAACAAAATGAAGACAAGATATAAATTTAAGAGAACATTATGTAATTAATATTGATTGTCATTTAACATATAAAAAAAAAATAAATAAATGGCAACAATGTTGCTTGGTTCTTTAATGTTAGATTAAATAAAAATATACCCAGTGTGATAAAAATTTGTTTTTTAAATGTACAGTGATGTAAGCAATCTTTTTAAATATAAACAAAATTAAACACTCCTAATGCTATGCAATGCCCTAAAGAAAAAAAAAATTTTAGTCCAACTGCGTTGGACTAAAATACAGGATGAAACTTGGATGAAAGTTTGTTTCCATCAGTTAACTGCAAATATATCAACATGTGACTTAGATTTCAATTCAAGGTAAGTGAATTCTGTGACAATGAAAGCTTTTTTTTTTCTTTTTTTTTTTTTTAATCTAAAATAAACATATTCTTGAATTTTCATTGTAAACAGAATAAAATCTCAAAAGAGGATTTTATCCAAATTTTCAGATATTTATGATTTTAAATAAATAAATAAAAATCTATTTCTTACAAATACATTTACTAAAATTTACAAATGGGAATTAAATATTAGAAAATAGGCAACATAATCATGTCTATGGTTCAATAAATTTTCATTATTTAGAAACTTAATAATGTTAAAGTTTCTAAGTAATGAAAATTAATTAAACCATAGACATGAGTTAATGGTTTTTTTGACATCAAAAAAAAAAAATTCATAGTCTAATAAAAGGTTTAAAAGCCAATCATAAGATAGAAAAACACTTTATGCGACGCATTTATGTACGAAACAGCCCTTTAGGAAATAAATAAAATAAAACAAAATTCTCTAGACACTTAACAACATATTATGGTGCCAAAAGCTATCTTTCGCTGTAACTGACCAGATGATGCGCATACATGAATGCCATCATTCGCTTTGAAATGGACACCCCGACCCTTGAAGATGAAACAGGGCTTGATACTTTAACTCAATTTAATTTTACTAATTATATTGAGGTTTTTGACTCTCATTTTTGAAACATTAGAACTCTTATGTAGCAAAAGAATCATGTTTTTTTAAAAAAATAATTATAATTTAAGCTCTACTTCTGTATGGAGCACTGTTTTTTAAAAATAAAAACAAAAATACTAAAGAACTCTGGATTCTTACCTATTTTTCTACATATCTTTACATATGAGATTAAATATTGTGTATTTTACAAAAACAATATTTGTTCCACACTGAGAGTTTTCTTATCAATTGTTTCAAATCTACAGAATGATATTAAAAAAGTACTTTGATTTATAAAGATATACAAACTATTTGGTCCATTAAAATTCTATCAGGCATGTTTAAGAAAATTGAACAAATTGATATATTCTAAGATTGAAAAACACAATCTTTAATTTTTAAGAAATTCATGAAATCCATTATTATCATTTTTTTTATTTTGGCACAAGTCTACAAGTATGGGTTCATGATTGAACTTATTCACTCACTCACAATGGCTAACTATCTTGCATAATATCTCAAGACAGACACCCATGAAAACAAGACTTTTTTTTTTTGCATTTCTTTTAACTTCCCTACTGTTCTCTGCTCTGTATTTCAACCATTTTATTCCACAATGTTTTTTCAACTTAGTGGGTGTCGACACTTACGAAGTTGATAACATCACTTACTTCCAACCAATTCATTTGTGCTTGCCTATGGACTTAAGGATATTTTATTTTTCCCAATTAACCAGCGTAGGCTTAAGATATTAGCTGTAGAATTTTTTATATCCATCTCTGGCTACTGCATTTCATTTCTTAACTGAGTTTGAAGAGTTCATTTATTAACAATATCTCCCCGTCATGGTACAATCTTATCCGAGTAAATGAACATAACTCTTATAATGTTTTATAATGGAACATAACTCTTATCAACTTTTATAAAGGGAAATAACTTTCAATTTAGTTCCTGTTTATCAATTTTTCTTCCTTTTTCTCAAGGAACTGGATCTGCTTTAAACATTTTGGGAGAAGTTGAAATGGATGCTATGATTATGGATGGGAGTACATTAAACAGTGGAGCTGTTGCTTGTGTGCAAAACATCACCAACCCTATACAACTGGCTAAACACATTATGGAAAAGGTAGTAGTAATAAAGTGAGAAATCTATAACCCTAAAATTGGTTCTATGATAATTTTAACTTTTTTGTCAAGAAAATCAAGAATTAAGTTGCATGGGACTTAGGAGTTCAAATGAACCATTGATTTACTCACATGAAGAAGGATGATAACGATGTGAAAGCACACAGGTAATTTTAACAAAATAAGATAAGGAATTTAGTTACAATTTTACACACTTAAAGCAGTGTCAGTAGACTGTTTCAAGAAAATAGATCAGAACTCTCAAAGTCCATAATTTTAATGTTTTATCATGAAGAGGAAATGTTCATACAACAGATTAAATGATTTGACACAAAATAATATTAAAAAATGTTTAAGACAAAGGTGAAAGAGTTCGTTGCTCACCGAAGGGATATATGGTTGCATACGTTCAAAAGTAGATGATGAGAGTTTGAAATACTTAGCTTTCTTGGATTGTTAAGTGAAAATTCTTAGAAGTGCTACGTGCTGGTTAGAGACTGATAATATAATTGGCAAATGATTTTACACTAGTGAGAACCTCGATTCTGGTCACAAGGAACTGAAACAAAACCTTTCACATGACTTCAGACAATCAATTCTCTGATTAATTTTTCTCAGTTTATATCAAATAAAATTTTGCATAGGCTCGCTACTTTCTTTTTCTTCTCAGCTGACTGACTGATTTCTATGAAGGGAAGGTTTTCATTGGTCCAATTTTGGGAAGAAATTCTTTCCACATTTTCTGTTGTAACTTTTGAGCAACAATGAAGAAATGATCTTTTCATTGTTCAGTTTCTTGTTTGCTAAAAGCCAAAATTTAGACTGAGAAGGAAATCATTTTCTGGTTGAATCTCTCATGAATTTGCCATCAAAAGCTTATTTTCTATTACTTGAATTTTCTAAAGAATTTTTTTTGTTTTTTATCATATTTCACAAAGTAATCTTCATTTGCTTTTAACTTTCTGTTTGAAGAAAATGTTTCATTCTGAAAAATATTTTGAACTTGTCATTCAGGTAATTGGAAAGCCAGCATCAGTCATGCAATAATTCTTGATTTATTTGATAATTAATTTTCACTAATTTTTCTCCCTCCCTCATTTAAAACTGCCTATTCCATAACATGTCATTCTTCACACAACCATTCCAATCTAGCAAAAGATTTGTGCTAAAGTTTAACCTTGGTACCTGCAAAAAATAGTGTGCCAAAAGGATGGTTATTCCCTTGACACTGCTATTATTTTGTACTCCTTTCACTCCCTTTATTTATTGTTTTAAAAAGCAATTATTAGAATTTTTAATAAAACCCAAACATATGAATTTATACATTTTGTTTATTCTTGAGAACTTACAACAAACAATTTATTATATTCGTTCATTTACAAGAATAATTTTATAATTCTAAAATGCAAACCAACAATGCAATATTTATTATTTACCAATTTATAAAGAAGTAAATATGAAAACAACTTTTTTTCATAAATTTATAACAATTTATTAACTCCTAAAACTATGTGAAACAATTACAGCCATCCCTCATTTAATGTTTTCAATGAGTGCTCTAAAATATTTCTATACCAAAATTCCATTCATGCATACATAATAATCGATTAGTGAGTTGAAATATCCTTCAGTTTAACCATAGTAATTGAAATTGATTTTTTTTTTTTTTTTTTTATAGTTAACTATGTACACATTAGCTGCAGGAATTGAGGGAGGATTCCTGTATAATGAAATCCTTATTATTTACTATTTTTAAAGTTCGAATTGAATGGAATTATGCTAATGTTTTACCAATCATTCCAAAGAACACAATTCACTAGCTTTGCCAATTGCTTTAGTCAAGTTTGTTTATTATCCAAACTTCATTTAAGGTTTATTCATCAGTCAGCACTTGGCTGACAAATAATATTTAGAATGCAATGATTTTAATTTTTTTTTTTTTTTTTTTCAGAATTATGTTTTTCAAAAAACTGTAAGGTGAGATACCTTATAATTGCTGGAGTTTCTAGATTTGGATTTCTATTAAGCATCCTAGATCACAATTATAAAAGATTGCAAAAGCAATACAAAAATTAATCTGGGATATAAAATAATTGGAGAAGAAAATGTATAATGTCCACAAAAATCATGTTTATTTAAATTTCCTTGTTCTATCAATCAGACATTTTTATAAAATTATGAATAACAAAAAAACTTGTTTTCAAAGTTAGCTATTTATAAAATGGTAAATAATAAATATCACATTGTACTTTGTTCACTTTTTATTTTTTTAATGTTCACATAATACAAGGCTCAAGAGCCACTCAAGGTAGAGAGTTACTCTGTGGTGCTGTATGAGCAAAAGAAAAGGACAAGTGTTAGGAGTATAGAGCTAAAGCAGACTTTAGATGGAACAGAAACCCAATTCTAAACAGGAAATGAGAGATAAACCTCCTCTTGTTTAAAAGGTTGGGGAGGGGTGTGAACCGGACAATAGGTGAACCTATCTACTGCTATTGGTGGAGGAAAAAAAAATAAAATGAAATAAATAGTAAATAAAATTTCAGAATTCAGTCACAGATGTTAGGAGTACAGAGCTGAAGCAGACTTTAGAAAGAACCGGAAACCCAATCCTAAGCAGGAAAGAACAGATTAACCTCTACTCCTGTTCAAAAGAAATTTTTATAATCTTGTAAATAAACATTGCTGAGGGAGTGTCTGTAATATACAGTAATAAGAGTGTCAACAGAAATCCTGTCCCTTTGAAATGTGTAGTAAATAAATAAGCTTTTAAAAAAAAAAAAAAAAACTTTTTTTTTTTTCTTTTTAGAACTAGTAACATGTACAATAGCTATTGTTAGGATATTATTTTTAAGGTTTTATTTTATTTTCATATGTCTATATCCTAAATAATTACTGTATGAATATCAATCAACTAAAATTAGTTAAATAATCCTGAGTATGGTTTGTACGCTTTTTACCATATGTAAAAAAAGAAAAAAAAAAAAAATGGCAATAAGCTCTGGAAGTCGAGTAAGGTAACTTCAGCTTACAGGAAGAACAATATCAACTCAATTGACAAATAATGTAAATTGTTTATATCATATATGACTATATTCTCTACCTAAGACAAAAATGTATAAAAGTGCTTTAATGGCTTGATCATTCACAGTAAATTTATGTTTGGATTCTTACAACATTTCACTTTTCCTGGCAGATCTTTTATTATTATTATTATTATCTATCTTCTGTTATCACACTGTGGGATGTTTAATAAAAAAAAGTTTTAAAAAAAACACAAAAAGAAACTAAATGAAAATAGCTAGACTCTATACAAACATTTTTTTTTAATCTACATTTAAAATTCTCAACATACCCCTTTTCTTTGTGCACATGTCACACAAAAACTTTTTTTACTTTGTCATAGATTTCATTAAAAATGTTTACCTTTGTAAATTCTTTAAAATTTCTTGACAGACTGACCACGTCTTGATTGTGGGAAATGGAGCAAATGCATTTGCTGAAGAAATGGGAGTTCCCAAAGTACCTGCCAACAAGTTGGTGACAGAAGATGCTAAGAAAGATTGGCAAAAATATCAGGACTTCAAGACAACAGCTGGCGATCTCTTTCATGCTTCCAAATACATGTAAGTCTCTAATTATTTACAAAAACATAGCAGAGAATTCTAATTCATTCTGTTTGTAAAAAATCTTTTGACAGATAATATTGCTTAGTAAATAGATTCATAAATTGCATGTGCTTATGTTTTACAACATTTAACTTATATGTGTATGCATGCTTCAAAATTAAAAATCTTAATATTCTGATAAGACACTTGTTGAAATCAAGTGTATATTCAGTTGGCAGTTGAAATCAAGTGTATATTCAGTTGGCAGTTGAAATCAAGTGTATATTCAACTATAATATTAAAATTTATGTGAAAAAATAAAATCCTCTGCCCCTTTCCACTATCTAGAGCAAATGAGATGTTTGGATGGGACCTTTTTAATAAACCTGGCTTCTGGTAACAGTGTCTGGTTCAGGGTAATAAAAAGGAATGTTCAAGAAAAATAGACTTCAGAAGAGAATTCTTTGTTAAAATTATTTCCAATCAATCAAAAAGATGGAATTTGAAACCTGAGACAATTAAGAAAGTAGTTTAAGCCAGCCAAAGTACTTATGAGGCCATCAACCAGTTTAATCCCTATTCATTATAATTTGGTTTGTGAGTGAGTCAAGGAGATACTTGATTCAGCAGATCAAATAACATTAGCAGTGAGTTGAGAAAAGTCGTTGTATTTTGAGATAGCTTTGTAATCCACAAATAACACTGGAACAACATACAAAGACTTAAAAACCCATAGTTTTGAACGTGTTCATCTAAATGTGATGAAACAAAGTTTCCCTCAATAATACAATGTCAACTTACTCTCTACAATTATAATTACACAAAGCAGTACCAACTTCTGAAAGTTTTCCAGAAATTACAATTATTCTGTAACCCCTTCTATTTAACAAATGAACACTCTCACTATTGGGTTAACCTATGAACCCACAAATGATTCCACAAAATGTGACAGCACTTTGTAAACTTTGCTAACACTTTACATTTCTGATTAAAGAATTTTATAACTTTAAGGAAATTGACAGAAAATTTAAAGTAAGCAAGTGTTAGGAGAGGAAATTACCTGATGAATATTTTTCTCTACTTAGTTTAATATTTTTAGGCAGTCAAAAGAATATTTTTGATTATCCCCTATACCTATCTTTTCACATAAAATATTATTGTAAATAAACAATTTCTTTCAATTTCACATTAAGAATCCTTTTTTAATGTGAGCTAAAAGAGATGTTTACACAATCATATATATATATATATAATACCCATAATGACATCCTAAAATAAGAACTATTAATTCCCAAAGATTAAAATATAGTTTCACTCCCCTGCTCCCAAGGAAAGAGATACTCAAATAAAAAATCTAAACTGCATATTGTTTTGGTTTATTTATTTGTATAACATTATCACATGGAATAATGAAAACACGAGACTTAATTTCTCATGTATAACATTTTATATTTCATTCAACTCTGGACTCTGCTAATAACTGTCAGTAGGTGTGTATGGCATCAGGCCCTCTCCAAATGTCAACCTTACATCCTTAAGTTGATGTAAGAGATTCTCTCTCTGAGGTGGGTGTTATATAATGTTATTATTTATTATATGAGATTAAAACGAAAAAAATTATTTACCATCACCTGAGGAAGCACAATTTAGTGCTGAAACATGAAAGCTATTGTGTAGTGTTTTTTTAACGTATTTTTGTTTAATCTCGTATAATAAATAATATTAAGTTCTACTCTGATTGAGGTCTTTTTTAAAATTAAATGCTACAATGTAATTATATATATATATATATATATATATATATATATATATATATATATTCAGTTCACCCTCATGGTCCCATGTGGTGAAATCTAAGAAGGTAGTACCTGGACCATTAGGATTTATTTATTTTACTTTTGCTCTACTTAGTGTATTGAGCACTCTTCATTTTAACTTATTACTCGCTGTTTTGTTTTGTTTTTTCTTTCTACCAGAGATCTAAGCTACTGAATGATTTCTTTCAACCTCTTCGGAGGTTTCTGGTGCTTTTTTTTTTTTTTCCTCGAATGCCAATTTATTTGGAAATTGTTCTATCCAGGTTTTTTCACCCACCGAGTTTAAATAGATTTACATTATATATATAATGTGTGTGTGTAATAAATATATGTGTGTGTGTGTGTATGTATGTTATACAGTTTTTTTCCCCCTCATGTGCATATCCTAGACACAGCTGGATCAATCAGGTGTTTACATGTCAAGAGCAGCCACTGATATTGGGTGAGGCATAGGTCTCCACTCCTAACTAGAAGGTTATCTCACAGGTAAACCCACTGATGCACTGGCTTCTTTGATGTTCTTCTGTGACATTGAGTGCAAAGTCTATTTGTGCTTCATCTGGAGTTAGTCATTTACTACTCATGTTAAAAATCTACCAGGTTGTGTTTAATTATAAAAAACAAAGAAACTCAAAAATTCCCTCAGTAGTTTATGAACAAACCAAAACAGCTAAGCATGAATTGAAGCAACATATCAATAAGTTTCTGGTTTACAAAGAGAATACTGATTATCTTTTTTAATGTTTTTTTTTTTTAAGTTTCTTTTATCTTTTATGCCTTAAAATTGTTTGTTAGATAAATATTTTCATAGAAAGTGATTATCTTCTAATATTGTAGAAATTTATTGTCACTACAAATATGCTAAAGAGTTTTGGATTGGAAACAATTTTTATTTTGTCCTAAGATCAAAGCTAAATATTTGTTAGTGTCACTTCCGTAAGATTCTAGAATTTTGTCAAGAGTAAAAAAAACATTTAGCATCCTCTCTTTTGGCCAGATACTGCAACAAGAAATGATTATTTTTTTTCAGTCAGTGAATTGGTTGTATATAGAAAGTTCTCAAATGTAATTTATTTCTATTATTGATTACTATGAGGGTCATTCAAAGAGTTCTAATCCTCAGCCAGAAGGAGTTGGAGAAACAAGAAAGTTTTTCATTATTTTTTAATATACAGAGTGCGATGGATAAATTGTCGTCTAAATTACACAAAAATGAAAAAGACATCTCATTTTAACAGATATATTTACCAAAATTACAGAAAAATATCTTGAAATATGAAAATTCAATAAAATTGCCATTGACTTCAACCATGTCCCCTAGATGACATTGCAATCTCCTACAACTCTTCTGGACAGTCTCCTTGTTTAAGTTGCTGAATACTGCCATAATCCTTGCCTTCAGTTCATCTTTGGTGTTACAAGGAGTTTTGTTGGTCACTCACTCAACTGCGCCCCACACATAATAATCAAGGGGGTTGCAGTCTGGGGAGTTAGGTGACCAGGTGTAAGGGGTAGTGTGGTTGCAGAAATTGTCTGACAGCCATGACTGGGTTCTACTGCTTGTGTGGCATTGTACAAATTCCTGTTGCCAGACATATGGTCTTCCAACAGTCATCCTCATGACCAAAGGCAGCATTACCTCCTCCTCAAGGCACAATGTATCTGAATCTGTATTGAATCTAAGGCCCTGTGAGATGATGAATGGAGACATAACATCACCATCACAGGTGATCACACCAAACACTATGATGTTGACTATTTCATTTTCATCCCTCCCAATACATCTTTTTGGCGACACAGCAAGCCAACAATTGTTCTGTTTGTTCAATATTTTATCCTGGCAGAAATGTTTTCTTGCCTGAGAAGAACCAAATCATGTTCAGTTGGAGGGGATGCTTGTGTTTGTTCAAAGATTTTGTATCATGGTCTTTCCTCTTATCCTTCATAGCTTGGGATAAAAATTGGCCCCTTCTCATGGCCTGAATCACACCAATAAATTCAGGAGTTCTTTTCTTATCAGAATGAGTTTATTGAGCTGTCGTACCTTCGTAATCACCATTAGACTCATCCAACTTTCAGAATCCACTGTGCTGTCACCCAAACACTCTAAAATGTTAGTATTGGAGTTTCTAGCATGAATGCCAATCAGTACAGCATGTTGTTTCCAAATTTCTGGTTGAGGAAATTACATCATGGTGCTCTTTTTCTCGTAGACAATGCCCAACTGTGCAGTTGATAAAATCAAAAACAAACATGCATGCTCAAAATTAAAAACATAAAATGGCAACAATTTACTCATCCCCCTTGACATCAATGCACTTGGCCCAATGATGCTTAAGCATTGCGATCTCATCACATAAGAAGGTGGCATCCTGGTCCTCCAAAATGTCCACCACAGCACATATGATCTCATCATTGTTTCCAGGTGGGATTTGAATATTGGAAACAGGAAGAAGTCAGATGGAGCTGAGTCTGGTGAGTAAAGGGGATGAGGTGGCAATTCAAAGACACAATTGGCTGCTTCAGTTACTGCAATCTGATCAGTGTAAATGGGTACGTTATCCTGGAGCAAGAGCATACCTACCCTAAGCTTCCCACTGCATTTCAACTTTTGCTTCCTTCAATTCTCTTAATTCTGGTGCATAGTACTGTCCATTTAATAGTTTTTTCTTTCCCCAAGGTAGTCTATCATGATTATGCCTTCAGAATAAAAAGAAAACAGAAGCATTAACTTTGCCAACAGACGCTGCCAGCTTGAACTTCTTCAGGGGTGGAAAACCAGAGTGTTTCCACTATTTGCTTTGAATCTTTGATTCTGGTTCAAAGTGGTGAACTTGGGTTTAATCTTGAGTTACTAACATCACGTGGAAATTCTCAGGGTCAGCCTGAAAGTGGGTCAGAAGTGTCCTGGAAATGTCACCCTTTTTTGGCTTCTGCTTTGCTGTCAGCATTCTTGGGACCCATCTTGCAGACAGATTGTTTATCGCCAAGATCTCAGTTAAAACAGTATGAACCAAACTAGAACTAATTCCTATGGACTTAGCTATCTGTTGGACAGTAAGACATCAGTCATCAAAGACAATATGGCCAATGACATCATCTTGTTAATCAGTGATTGAGGTTTTTGGTCAACCTGACCAAGAGTCATCTTCTGTGCCATCCCTGCCCTGTTTGAATTCTGCAACCCACTTCAGAGTTGCATAGGAAGAGGTATCCCCCAAAAAGTGCCCGTACCACATGGACTATAACAGGCCTCTGTTTTGTACATTTTTCAATTTGTTGCACACCTCTCACATTTGTATGAACCTCACCTGCACAGAAATTAAGACAGAAATCTGAATTAGTTTTTTTGTTTTTTTTATAAGAAGTGTTAGTGTGTTGCCACAACAAAAATGTTCAGCTATTCTTTGGGACACACTTAGAACTTTTTGAACGATTCTCATATATTTCAAAATGAACAAAGTATTTGCTTACTGTGCTTTTCTTAGTTTAGTACAAGGCCATTTCTATTTCTGCATTCAGACATGCTCATGAAACTGTTGGATGTATAGCACGAGACAAATTTGGTAATGTTGCTTGTGGTACTTCCACAGGTGGAATCCCCGCTAAGAGACAAGGCAGAGTGGGAGACAGTCCAATTATTGGTGAGGTTTTTGTTGTTTTTCTCTAGCATATTCAACCTAATTTTGCATAAAACTAGAAAAGATTCATTATTTTATTAAAGTAGCAAGACAAATGCAAGAAAATGGATTTTGCTATTAATCTCCCAAAAGATGATTTAAAAAAAAAAACTTTGCAACATTCATTTAATTGCCAAAAATGTTATGAAAAAAAAATATTCATTATCATCCCAGATGAACAATCACTTAAACCCTGACTTATTCAATCAGTTTTTAAATCTTTAGAAATGTACTCCAAAATAATGAAGAACATTTATTTTACATGGTAAATATTCATTTTTCATCATAACCTCCTTCTTTGTCAACACTTCTCCATTAATCACAGTGAGCAGATATTATGCAATGCAATGAAAATTTTAGATCAAAAATCAGTTGTCAGGCTACAGACTTACTGATCCGCCTTTATAAAGATAAATGAAGTCTTTCAAAATAATAGCAGTGGTAGTAGTGGATGTATCTATTGTAAATAGACTGTTGATCACACACACACACTATACTTGAAAGAAAAGTTTTAAATTTGAATGTCAAATTAATTTTTGGATAAAATTTATATATTTATTCATAAAACAATTTAAAATAAAAATTTGTTTTTAAAGTTCAAAAAGTTGAAATATACCAACATTTTTATTTTCAGCCACTGTTATTTTTATAACATTATGACATGATAAATATATATCCATGAGAAATTAGAATTTTAAATGATTATATGCTCAGTTGTTGCTTTTTAAAATGTAATTAAAAGATAAATATATATTATAAATATAAAAATATAAATTTTGGGGTTTACTCCACCTTGTCTGCCAGAGGGTCTCTCCTAATACATGGTAAGTTAGCATTGTATAAAGCAGTATAAAAGGGAAGGACATGAATCCTTTCTCTCTCCTTTCATAGGATGCTGTAGTGACAAACATGTCTCATTTCTCTTCTGGGGGGACTTCTTAGTCCCCAAACCACATGTCTTGTTGAGGGCAGAGATAAATGACACTGCTGTTTTTTTTTTTTTTAAAAAAAAAAAAAAAAAAAAAAGTTATCTGTCTATATCTCTGAGATAAAAGTATTATGATTATTTACATTATTTGGACTGTTATCCTCATCTTCATTGGCCGTTGAACGTTCTGGCCTTCCTCAGGTGATTGGAATTTCAAACCAAACATTTTATTTCATCCACTGGGCTAGATTGTTCTAGTTTCACGTGCCATGCTTTCTTCCAGATGTCTTAGTTATTTCCCTTTAACTCTCCAAGTATTTTGCTTCACCACTACTATAGCCTGGGATTGAACTCACAACTCTTTGGGTTTAGTCACTAGGTCAAACCAACACCTTTATCCTCAAGGACAAATGGCCCAGTGGATAAAGACATTGGTTAAGCCAAAACATTATGAATATGGCAATGAAAATAAGGATAACAGTCCGAATAATGTAAATAAAAAAAAGTTATGTACAGATAGAAGCAAAAATGAAAGAGTTTCTAATACTGCTGCTTCATGTTTTTATTTGACTAATTATCTTTTCAAACTTTATTTCTTTTTGTTTTTTTTCTTCAGAATCTTGTCTTCATAATGTAACATAGATGTGTGTGTGTGTGTGTGCACATATGTGAATACATGTTAAACTTAGAAAAAAAAAAAAAAAATGGGTTGAGTTGTTAATAATAAACAACTGATTTTTATTTCTGCCCTCCATACATTTATAATAAATAAAGTTTATCACTGGCGGATTGGTGATGTTAGTCCATCAAAAGTAATTGCTGATGTATATTCATTCATTAATAACAGGATAGTTTATTAAGCTTTTCAATGTTCTCCCACTTGTAAGCAAAAATAACAAAAGTATACTTTATTCTATTTTAGGAGCAGGCGGTTATGCTGACAATAAAATTGGAGCTGTTTCCACCACAGGCCATGGTGAAGCCATTGCTAAAATTTGCCTAGCTAAATACATTATCACCCAAATGGAAATTGGTAAAAAAAAATTATTAAAATTTCTTTTTACTTGATATTTTAGCTAAGCTCTAACTCTTTATGTTCCTTAAAAAAAAAATATTTCATACTGAAAAAAAAAAAAAATTTTAATAATCCTTGTTTCCCTATCAAGTAGAAAGACGCATGATGTGCTTCTTTGGGTCTTTTTTTTTTCTTCTTATTTACAGTTTGATATAATCTCTTAGAAGGTCTTTTACTAGAGAGTTGACATAAAACAACGTTTTCCTGAGAAAGTTATTCAGGATATATTGCATTTGAGGGAACTTTCTATGTGAGTACTTCTTGTAAGTACGACCTTCTGCATCTCAAATAGTGAAGGGTTTTCTTAATTCTTGTATCTGTATATTATTCTACAGATATTATTATTGATGATGATGATAATTAATTTTTATGTGTTTATTTTTTAATCTGAAAGAAAAAGTTATCAATAATTTAAACAAAACCAAAACTTGAAATCATGATAACAAAATGGAAGTTAAAACATCTGAAAATGGATTTTACATATTTATTAAATCAAATTTAAAATCCTAAATAGCTTATTTAATTCTGACAAGTTTTGTAACTTAAAAAAATATTTTAATCACAATTCATAGCCATTAGAATTTTATTGTTCTGCAAACTTTTATACACACAGTTTATTCAGTGTAGGGTTTCTTATGTCATGGCTGACAAGATTATAAATATACTTTATTTTCTTAACTGAAGATACTGAACTTTGTTTCTTACTGAAAAGCTATATGGATTACTGCCATATGTATTAATATACTCTTTGTTGAATATGGCGTTCCTGACCCAAGCGAGATTAAAATTATCTGGCATAAAATCAGATTTGTAAAAATTGAGTGAGGCCAAGAACTTTTCAGCATCCTCTCAGAAAATCTAAGAAATAAACTGTAGTTCTGCTACAATAACAAAGAATCATTCCTGAGAAAAAGGCTCTTAGTTCACTTATACAATATATCTTCTGACATGCTCCCTCTAGGCAATCATGACTCTCCTCAATTCCCTGTCCTTTGTACCTCTTAATAAATTTTGTTGTCTCTCCTGAACTCTGCTCTGCCATTCAATATATGAACAGTAGATACAGATTTATACAATTAGTTTCTGAATTTTAATGAATGGCGCTGTTGGGATATTTAATAATTATTGCCCCCACACATTTCAAAGGTTAATATTTGGAGATCAGTGATAAGTTACATTCGTCTCAATCCATTTCTGACTTGCTTTGACCTTTCTGGCTCCTGTTGGAAGATAGGAGACAATGACATCCCTCCAGCTAAAAAAAAAAAACCAAAAAAAAACCCCATGAATCCAAATTGTCTTCAAATTTATATATGGTATAAAAATAACAGTTAGGATGCTAATATCTTTTTCACTATTCACTTCTGGAGTTATCAGTGTACTATTCAGAAATTATTTTACAAATCATTCATGACTGATGATTATAATAAACTTCTTGGTATGGACAAAAAAATGTAGCAAAAAATCTTGACAAAAAAAAAAATACTCACTTCATGCATGTTCTCTATGAAAAGTTATTTTAAAAATGACAGATTATGAAATATTCTACAAATAATACCTTGCCACATTATTTAGAATGAGATTTATATTTCAGCAAAGTCAACTTACATGTCATCCAAGTGACAAGATTTGTTTTCTAAACTTTCTGACCAAATGTCATGAAAAAATCTGTCACATCATCCTATAAATTTGATTGTTCCTTAGTTAGCGTGTCCATTATGCCCTGTCAATACCTCATAAATAATGGACTATTCAGTTTTGATCATGAGGACAGACAGAAAAAACATATCAGTGATGGTATTTAGTTTCAGTGAGAAAAAGATAGGTAATAACACTTGTGTTTCACGTCTGCTTCAGTGAAATAGAAAAACTTGTCAATTTTAAATCTTTTCATTTGTGTCCTCTTAAATAATGACCAATTAAAGTTCTTAATCAAAAATATTTAACAATGCAATAGGGAAATATCCACAGGCATTTTGTGGTGGTGAAACTAGCAACAAATTTATTTAATCATTAACTTTCATCAGAAAATTTAAATAGCAAAACCATTGAAATTTTACATTATTTTTTTTTTTTTTTCAATTTACAATAAGGTCTTTTGATTCACAAGAAATTGGTTCTAAGATTCCCTATAAAATCCAAAAATCAAACTATCTTGAAATATCCTAAAATTTTAAGATGAAATTGAAATATTTTTAGAATATTATTATTATTATTAAAGACTTGTGAGTTTTTTGTTTTTTTTATATATATATTTTATTCCTTTTAGTTTATAACTTTTATTAAACAAAAAGGTTTTGTTGATTGGATCAACTGTGGAAAAGTGAAACTGGTTGGTGATTCCACACTTTATTCATTTTGTTATATTCTGAAAAGATACAATATTTGATGAAATAATGAATGTCACTCATTTAATATATTGTTTTCATCTTTTGGAACATTAATTCCATTAACAGTGTTTATTTTCAAAATGCCTAATGGAATTAATATTAACTTCAAATTCTTGTTAATGTTGAGTTGGTTCCATGTTATATATACACACATACACACCACATTTTTTTATGATTTTGACTCCATTTCTATTATTCCAGGGGAAATAATTCTTGTCCCTTGTAGGGTGGTATTTCTTATTAATATAAACGTTATTTTTAATGGTTACATGTATTTGAGTTACTATCCGTTTTTTTTTTTTTTTTATTTCAAAATTGAAATTAACAACAAACCTAAATTGAGAAGTCCTACCAAAAATAAATTGTACCTGTGACATGAATCAAAATGGCATCCTTTTTTTTTCCATCAGGGGAAACTGCTTTTTGAGCTAAAGTGTGTCTCTACCAGTTCAGCCAGGGCAACGTTGAAATTAACTATTTAAGGAAAGCATGTTTTTCTCATTGCTTCTTCTATGAATCTATGTGTTAGCTTCAGTTTTATACCCAAAACATAAGCAACAGGATATTTTTTTATCTGGCATCATTTCTTATTTCGATAAACATTATCCTTTAGTGGGTACACGTTTGAGTTTGCTATCAGTGTTTTTTTTTTTATTTTGTTAAACTGTAAAATTAATAGGACTTCTCAGTTTAGGCCAGCTGTTATTAATTTCACTGTCTAATAAAAAAAAAAAAACAAGGATAGTAACTACTAAAAATAACATTTATAGTAATAGAAATAATGCTGGATAAAAAAAAATCCTGTCAAAAATTAGTGATATTTATGCAAATTCAATGAATTAGTTATCCAATAAGATATGAAATTGAATGAATATCTTTAATATCTAATCAGAACACAACTACTAATAGGAATCTTTTTCTTTTATACTAATACTTTTCCTACTAATAGGAATCTTTATAGTTTTGCTTTAAAAACAAAACTAATTTCAGTCTATTTTTGCAGGTTTCAGTGAGGAGTCAGCCATTCAAAAAGGACTTGAGCATATGTTTGCACGTCTTCAAAGCTGTGGTGGGGCTATTGTGCTGAACAGGTCAGGATCAGTGGCTGCACATTTTACTACAGAACGTATGTCTTGGGCATGGCGTGATGACCACTCTCTTCATTATGGTCTCAATCCCGGGGAACATTACATTCAAAAGATTCTCTAAAAGCTATCTATTCCCATTCAAGTTTCCAATATCCAACTACTCATTACACATGGGTGAAGTTTACATTAATGAACCGAAGCTATACAGTGGCTCAACAGTAAAAAGTTTCACTATATAGTCAACATCTTACTTCAAGAAAAAGAACCCAACTCTTTTTTTACGACATTTTCAAGAGTATAAAACTGAAATTCTTAAGTTCTTATAACAACAAATTTCATCATCTTTATTCTTTGCTTAACCAATGACTTTGAGTTATTAAATCTAAGTATTATTTTAAGTTTTCTTAAACATAGTCTGCCAGAAAAATACTGCTATATAATTCCAGCAAAAAAATTTACTATCAATAGAAAATGGATATATTTAAAATATGAAGTTAAAAACAAAAGAAAAAGAACTGACATTTAATACAGAAAAAATAATATTGAGTTAACCAGTTGCACTCCTCACTTATATCAAAACTCAATTGTAGATAATAAAATAAATGTACTGACTAAAATTAGAAAACACCAATACACTGAATAAGTAATATACTAACACCAATATACCAATCACTATCTTTTCTAGATGTTTTCATAAAACAATTTTAAGTTTATTACATCAGTGTACTGTAAACCCACATTTTCAGGTTTATATATTAGATGGAACTCCTTTTCTCCCAAAAGGTGTAAGAACAATTTGGTCAAAAAATTAGTTCATGAAGCCCTAATGATCTGTTCACCTAATAAGTTAGAACAAGAACTAAAATTTATTAGAGATATTTTGTGATGCTTTAGACAATGTACAGTCAAGTGTAAATGTGAAAATTCCACAATTTTATAGGTTTAAATGTTTTAGCCCTGAAAAGTGTCCTTGCTAAGACGACATCAGCATGATTGCTAAGTAAATATTGGACAATATTTCACAATGTTATTTTTTTTTTTTTTGCTAATCCATGAATAAAGTTCTGGTCTCATCCTGCCTATCTTCAAAATAAGTTATTTATTCTTTTAAATGTTAGTATAATGCTGACTATAGAAGTAGGACAACTCAACTTTTGGAAAAGAGAATTTCTCCATATGTTCCAGCATTTATCAACAGAGGTCAGCTGAGTGATCATTTGCATAAGTCTGTTGCATTTGGGTCTGATATTATGAAGCACCTCATAAAAAACAGTTAATTTTTCTGCAGCATACCAGAACATGTCTCTTTTTTGTGCAGATTACACTCAGAATTTCATTTAAAAGTCCTTGAGACAATTTTCTAGGCTACCTTCCCTGTTTCAACAGAAGTAATTGCTGTTAGGTCTTAATGAAATGTGTATTAACTATTCAGTGTTAATATATTACTAATACAGTGTATTGGTGTTTTCCAATTTTAGTCAGTTTATCCTCCATAAAAATAAGTGGGGAGCAAAATTAGTTAATTCTCAATGTTTCCTACATTTTCAATATTTTTGTCAGTTCCTACATATGTATATGTGTGTGTGTGTGTATTAAATAATAAAAATGTTACTTGGAAATTAGAAATCTTTAAATCATTGAAAGTAAATTCTTTTTCTCTATTTACAGAAAATTTAGTAAGAAATCCACCCCAACCTCTGATTCCAATTTTACATCACATGTATTTCTTCAAAGGTATCATTGCTGGCTATAAATTTATAGGTTAAATTAGTTGCCACATCTTTAATTTTTACTGTTTAGTAAAGGCCAAACACTGTGTCTGGTTTCCACAAAGGGATTTATAATTTAAAATTCAAGTGCTCTTAATTTTATCTCTTTCTTATTGAATAATATTCTAGTTGAAAGTGGTGTGATTGGGGATCCTGTACAACTATTTTAAACAAAGTCTTATAAATACTGACATTTCACACATGAAAAATATTAAATATGACTTGAAATTATATAAAAGTTGTTTTGTTTTGTTTTTTTAAACATTTTACACTAGTAATTTTATTATTTTTATTAACAGGTAGAAAAATTACATACCATATATACTTCTGTGTAAGCTGACTTCATCTATAGTGCGACACCTGAATTTTAACCCATCCAGAAAAAATTTACCTGGGTATAGTGCAGCCAGTCACGGAAGATGCTTGACTTTTAACCTCTTCAAAAAATGATCTATATATAGTGTGACCCTCTATCTTTTTTTTTTACCTAAAAAAAACTTGCACTATACTCGTGTATATATACTAATTGTGTCTATTTTTTATCTACATAAACCAAGATTGCTTGTGCTCTTTAAAATACTAGCAACAAAACAGATATTTGCCTGATAACAAAGATTAATGCTTTTTAAAGAAATCATTTACAAAATAATTCATTGTTCTAAAAGTCTCCTGAATAAGAACACAAACATGGTCTCTATAAAATAATTCAATAACATCAATGAAATGTTTAATATTGATTTTTAAAAAGAAAATTATATTAAGCAAAAAAACTTAAAAAATATTTTTTGAAGTTAGATTTGGTCAACACTAAATATTCCTATCATGCAAACTTTACAGAGTATTAATTATATTCAAATTATAGATTATCTTTAAAAAAAAAAAAAAAAAAAAAGTGTAAATTACTTTTCATTCTCCCTATTTACATTATTCGGACTAAAGTCCTCATCTTTGTCACGTTTTGGCCATTGTACGCTCTGGCCTTCTTCAGGTAGTTGGAATGTCAAACTGAACCCTTTATTTCGCTCACTGGAGTAGACTGTTCTAGTTCCACATGCCATGTCTAATCAGTCAGTTATCAGTTACCTCCTGGCAATTCACCTCTTCAAGTTCTCCATCGCTTTAACCAGGTATTGAACTCACACTGGGTCCTGTCACTGGATCTAACTAACACCTTTATCCACTGTGCCATGTGTCTGGTTATTATAAACCTAATGTCTTCAGCAACCATTTTTACCAGTGCTTATATTGCAATTTTTTTTGTTATTATTGCTTTTCTCTGGCACACCTTATTACTGGTTCCCATATTGTATTCATTTCTATGCTTGGTTGGCTCAGATTTTTGTGGCCTAGCATATGTGCTGATTCCTTAAGTTTGCAAATTCTCCAATGGTGTTCTTTATGATCTCAACCTGATCCCACAGAGGATGGTGATCTACCTTTTCTCTCCATATGTGGTCAGCCATGCCTGATTTTTCCACTTCCCCTCATGTTACAGCTTTCTGGTGTTCTTGAAGCCTCACCTTAAGGGGGCAGCCTGTCTCCCCTTTATATTTCTTTCCACAGCTGCACGGGATAGCGTATACACAGTCTTTAGTCATGTTCTCCTCTATGGTAGTTTTTACTCGAGAGAGATATCTGCAAAGTGTTGTCCAGATGTTATATGAACTGCAGATCCTTTGTATTTTCTCTGATAACCCCTTCACATAAGGCTGGTAGACTGTTTTCTGAGTGTTGTTGTCCTCCTCTTGTACCTGCCTATCCCAGTTTTCTGGGGCTGCTGCCATGTAACCAGGGTAGTTGTTACATTGTAAGGTATTACTTATACTGACCAATTCTTTATCTAATGTCTCTGGGTCACCACTTATGACTTTTGCTCGGTGTTGTAAGCAGCAGATGATCCCTTTCTTTACACTGTATGAATGGTTGGAGTTGAAATTGAGGTACTGTCCAGTGAATGTCGGTTTACGGTATATGGATGCCTTGAACCCATGTTCTGTTTTTTCAGAAACAGTCTGCCTGCTTTATGTGAAGGGGTTATCAGAAAAAATACAAAGGATCTGTGGTCCATATAACATCAGGACAACCTTCAAAAGCTGGACAACACTTTGCAGATATCTCTCCCGAGATATCAAGCATAGAAATGAGTACAATATGGGATTGTATTTAACAATCTTAAAAATGCTATTTCTTACCATGCACCATATTACAAATATTTCTTACAGTTCATATTTTTGTTTTTTTTTTTAAATATTTTCTTCAAAGTGATTGAAAAGAAACATTTTCAAAAGCATTATGTACACTGGTAGATAACTTCAGGATGGAATTGAAAGAGGATTTAATTACTTTGTAATAAATCACTAATTAAACTATACACTGAATAAATTCTATACTATGTTATTTTTTTAATTTCATACTTAAGATAATCTTTAATGCACTCAAGATTATAATCATTATGAACAATCTTTTCATTAGCTGCATATAGTTATATGCTTTATCAGGGTTACATAGTTTTGAATTTAAGAGTTGTCCTCTTCCTATACTGGCTGCCAACCATGGTTGAAGAGACTGGTCTGTACTACTATTTAACCCATAGTTGTTGTATAAAGCATTACAAAATTAAAACAAATAGTAAATGAGATTATATGACCATTATTATCATTCTAGCAGATGTAAAAGCTTTAAGAAATTTACAAATATGCTTTCTGCTCTATTATCTGTTAATTTTTTTTTAGCATCTTTTTAAAAAAGTGATCAAGTGATAGTTGAGGCTATTTTTCTCCTAACAAATAAAACCCAAATCACAAAAGAAAACAGTGGATGATTTATTTTGGCACAGTGGCCAGGTCAACTTCCAAGATGTTTTGGTTCTGCTAGTAAAGGAACTTCAGCACAACAGATACCAGCCAAGTCCCTGGCTCTAATATCTCATTCAGTCAATTTTTTTTTTTTTTTTTTTTGTAATTTCTAATGGGCAAGAAAGAAAATTACAAATAAAAATAAACATACAGGAAAATAAAATAGAAATTATAATGTAAAAGCTAAATGAATCTGTGTATTTGTGTCTGTATATGGAGGAAAAAATGTCATTACCAACAATGTATCATACCTTATTAATCCAAAAGTTCAGAGTTGAATATATTTTTAAAAAATGGTAATAACAGTCGAGATAGAGAAAATTTTGACAATTTCTCAACAGAATGAACAAAAAATAAATAAATATGCTGTAGACATAAAATGTTTTATAGTTGTTTATCATTCCATATCAGCAGACTGTTTTGCTGCTACAGTATACATAAATACTGTAGGAAATTGGGTCAATCACACACAATTGTTATGTTTTCTTTTTATCTTT